AAGACGGTGGGACCCACAGCACACTGAGGCCTCAGCATGCTGCTCACTCCTGGGGTGGCCATGGGACTCTGGGCCATCACCCTTCCTCTGTCACTGACTTTTCTGATGACTGAAAGGATTAAGTAAAGAAAGCTCAAGGCACACAAAGCCTTTTTCCTGTGAAAAACTAGTCATGAGCACTAGCCACCCTCCTATCCTTGACCAAGGGCTCTCACAGCATCCACGCTCACTCCCTTAGACTGCGTGAGGACGCCGAGAATCTGTCGAGAGGCACATGGCTAGCCTGGCTCTTGCTGTGCTGCACTAGGTCTTGGGACCAAGCTGGTCTCCAGTCTTCCTGTGAAAACTGAACTCTAATATCTACGGCTTGCTACGTACAAAAATACACATTCAAATCTTGTTGAGAAAAGTTCTAAGATGAACCCAAGCAAATACCTGATGTCCACCTCACAAGTGCTTTGCCAGACATTCTGCCACATACAGTGAATACGCTGGCAAGTGAGAAACAGCGCCTGCCTTTGGGGGGCGACCAACCCGCAGACACGTCTGAGACACCGGCGGCTAGATCCGCAATCTGACCGTCTCCGTTTCAGGCACCACACGAGGAACGTGTGACGATTACTAAGACAGGCTGCTAATTCCTTAGCAGGCCTGTGAGACTCAGAGACCAGCAGCCCTGCAACGTGGTGCATGCCGGCACTTGGAGGCAGGGAGGCAGGCATGCGACTCAGGCCGGCCCTGAGGGGCGGCCGGTCGGTGACACAACGATGAGGCACTGCAAGGCTCTTCATGTGCTGAGATGCTCCTGTCTTGCTGGAAAAGGGCCCATCCAAGCCTGGGTGTCACTCGATTACACTGAAACATGCTTCTGCGGCAGAACACAGCTCAGCGGGCGTCTCACGCAGCCCTAGCGCGGGCAGCACATGAACCCAACTCTGAGCACGGCAGCACTGATGGAGAAGAGAAGAGGCGGCCTGGTGGTACCTGCAGCAGAAGGCAAAGGAGACCGTGCCCGGAAGGAGCCAGTGCATCTAGTGAGGGCACAGAGTGAGACAGGCCAAGAGGGGAAAGGGGGCTTAGACATCAGGCCTAGGAAGCGAATGCAGAGGCCACCAGGGCAGAGCTGGGAACTGGACTGGGGACGCCTACGGAACTTTCAGTCTTGCCACTGGGATTGGTTACTTTTGGAGCATGTGGACTAAGCTGGACTTCCGGCTTAACTTTTATCACCACTTAATCTGCCACCATAAGAACAAAAGCTGGTATTTAGACAACAGCTTACTAGCTGGCTTATGTTCTGGAATGCATCTCCTCCCCTCACAGAGCCTGACCCTCGCAGCATGGTGGAGGCTGGCCAGGGAAGTGGCCCTCTCCTTGTCTTTACTCCCAACTGGTAAAATGGCCACATCAGTCACAGAACTGGATCTCTCTCCCTTCCAGCCCTTAGCCCCAGGTCTTTCCCATGTTCCCCACAGTTCCTTGGCCTTCTGCCCCCTCTCGTGCCCCTCCAAGGTGGCAGCACTCCGTGTGGGTCCTGCCAGGTGATGCCAGCATCATCGCCTGAATCTCCTCTCCTCCTGAATCCACTGCTCTGTTACTCCAGAAGAGCCCTTCAAGAGGTCTACATATAACAGCATAAATAAAATCATGTTAAAATATATTTTAGGGCCGGGCTTGAGGCTCAGTCTGTCATCCCAGCAGTTTGGGAGGCCGAGGTGAATGGACTGCCTGAGCTCGCGGGTTCGAGACCAGCCCAGGCAACTTGACGAGACTTCGTCTCTACAATAAATCAAAAATAAGCAGCTGGGTGTGGCAGTGCACACCTGTAGTTCCGGCTACTTGGAACGCTGAGGTGGAAGGATCACTGGAGCCCAGCAGGTCAACGTTGGGGTAGCTATGAGTGTGCCACTGTACTCCAGCCTGGGTGACAGAGTGAGACTCCAACTCGAAATGTATATATATATATTTTGTCTTAACAAGATGGAAAATAAGTACTAGTAGGATTTTTGAACTGAAAGAGGTCCCCTTTCACCCATTAAAAAAAAAATTTGCCAGCTGTAGTTTCCATATCTATTATACATTAACGTATTTCAAGGAATTCCTTTTCTTTTTCTCAGTATTGCCCTATCATATAAAAATAAAAGCGTATAACAACCAACCATAAAAGAGATAAAGTTCACATGCAGAATTAAGTGACACCAAAGCCATGTGACTTTTTGGCTTGTCTGACCCCCTAAACTGCTGCACAGGCTGCCTGGGAGGACAAAGGTCGGGGGACACCCCTTAGGAGAGAGCCACTGGACCGAGAGGAGCTCTGGGGAGGAAGGAAGCGCAAGTTGTGCCGGGCGCTCTGCGGTGAGCACACATCGCCAGCACCGTTGTGAAAATGTTCTTAAGACTTAAGCCCAGACTCCTTTTTGACTGCTCTTACTCTGACTAGGCAGTAGAGACACTGAGATCCAAAAATACAGGCTGTCAGAGAAAAACAAGAGCTATGCTGGCTGCTCTGTGAGCCTCTGGACTGAGGCAGGCAGCAGGAATCGTGCTCCCTGCACAAGTGTCTAGTAGCCCGTCTGTCTGGCTCTGTGGCCACCAGTCCTCTTCAGGTGGCCCTCAAGCAGTAGGTCGGGATGAGGACTGTGGAGCAGGCTGTTGTTTTTGTCAAGCACCGGCCAGGCCATCTGTTCACCGAGATTGAGTTATAGCTGCCATGTCCTTATCCTAAGCTTTGGCCCCTCCTCTGCCTTGGGGAGGTGAATCCCGCCTCTCTCTCCGCAACTTACTTTCTAAATAAACTATATTTTCTAATCTGGAAAAAAAAAAAGAACTGTGGACCAGACAAAATCTGGTAGGCTAAAGCTAAAAGGCTTTATGACTTAGCCCAAACATACAACTCCTTTCCTAGTAGGAAAAGTTATTTTCTGTATTAGATATTGGAACAAGCTTGAATTTTGGGAAGTAAGCATCCGTTGTTAAAATCTATGAAAAGTGTATTTTGTGAAAGTTTGAGAGTTGCTATGAAACCTAACACCCTGGAAAACAAGAAAGAGACAATGTTGTGTTTACTGGGCCATGGATGGATGACTGACAATGGATGATGTCATTAACAGGCAATTATAACAGTCGGCATTCCAAGGCAATTTAATAACCTGTTTTGAAGAAGTACAGCTTCCAAAAGAACAAAAAGACAATCTAAATGTTTATCTGGATAACTGCATGACAAAATGAAGTTAAATATATAAAATAAAAAAGCTAATCCCAGCCTAAAAAAAAATGCCACCCTTTAAAAAAGCATCAAATATTTAGTCACCAACTTATATGTGGAAAGGGGTCCAGAAATAAATGAGTTTTTCAGAACCTCAGTGCATCTCGCATGAAAATGCTGTAGGTAGAGTTAGGTTTCCAGTGCAACCCAGAAAAATGAGGTCAAAGAACAGGACCTTTATATAGCCAAAGGCCCCAGGCTCCAAGTTTCAGCTTTGTCCTTCACCAGCAATGTTTCCACAGAAAGGTATGTTCTACAGTCTCCGGCCAGAGCAGCCGCCTCCAGCTCTGGGGCACACTGGGGAAGCCTGACAGCTGTGGTATCCTGTGGCAGAAGCCCTCCTGTCCTCTTGTGGGAGCATCTCCCACGTGGAGTCCCAGTCTAGGAGCACTCCCCACAAACAGCCCCAAGGGACCTGACGCTGTCACGTCAGTCTCCGGGTAGGGGTGTCAGTCTACCATAACCTCGTGGTCTTCAGATGCTTGTGAGTCTGAGCTATTTACGATGAATATTTTAGCAAGGACTAGATGAAGTTCAGATTTATTAAGGACAAAGGTTCATGTGACCCCAAATCTTCTCATATCAGGCATGTTTTCCAAACATCTGGGCAAATCCCACCCCAAATCTAGAATGCAATCACATTATAATAAAGCTGGCTTTTTGCAAACAAAAGGAAGCATTTGTTATCAGATTCAGCCATACAGGTCAATAAAATGTTCTTTTATTTACTCAGGGATTAAAGGGGATGTCTATGAAATATACATCTTCTAGGAAAACAAGCTCTTGGGCTGAGCTGTTGCTCACTGGACGGTGCCACGTGAAAGATGGGACACGGAGCTGAGGCCCATGAGAGAGAGGGCTGAGGTCAGTCAACAGAAATGCTAGGTAAACAAATGTTCATGATCTGGACTGGCCACAGCTACAATGATCACGATGAGAACCATGGGAGGATACTATCAATAAATGCTTCAGAATCAGAATATCATATACTATAAAAGGGTTTTCTTCTCCGAAACATTATAAGCTCAGATGTTACTATAAACAAAACAACAACATCAAGAGAGCTAAAATATCACATTATTTGAAGAAAGAGATGTGACAAGATTGAAAAAAACCCCAATTCACTGGTATGCCCTAATTCACCATATCACCTGACAGTTTATTAAAAACGTTTCTTCTTTTCCCTAATTCACAGATCAGGATGATTGCTGGAGATGTAATAGGCATAGTTTGAACCACAATTTTGTGCCATTTCACCTCTGCCTATCCACAACAACACTCTAGGATGTTTGGCAGAAATGTGGCAGAGAACAAAGCTTGCTTGCCATGGAAAGCACAAAGACGTGACAACTTAAGAGTTTTGCTTAAAGTTCATAAATGTCCTTTCAGTAAATTACACTTTCATTTATGTAAACTGTCATGTACAGATGCTTTATTGTTATAGTTAAGAAAACATACAGAAAGCAAATGTTTAAAATGAAGATACATACACACATTTTTTATATTCTTGCTGTAAATAAAATTATGATTCATCAAGCCTGAATAATTCTTTTTGTTGATAATTATAATTTTTTTCCCTAGAGGTAGTTTATGGGCTCCATTTAATCCTTGGCCTTGCTTCACAGGCAAACTCTAGGATCCTGGCTTACCATCTTTAAAATAAGATTAGAGATAAAAGGCTAATAAAAGAACCAGCTGTTGTAGCAAACTGGAAGCCATTCCAGCACAACCTCACCTTCCTCTGGTGGCCTTCTGCAGAACCTTCATTCCTACTAGGCTGCAGGTCTTCCCTTCCAACTGTCTTGCTTTCAAAATGGCACCCTCCAAGTGCACTTCACCAAACATTCCATAGGCATCTTGCACCAGAAGGCAGACTCTGTAAAAAAGCATTCACATTTGTTCTTTGAGGAGGCAGTCGAGACCACAATAGAAATCGGAATTTCTCTTTCCTTCACTAGAAATCCACCATAGTCATCGTCCTAAATAGATGAGTCATGTTATAAATGAAGTTGGTTTCATGTGCATATTCTTTGCATTTATACACACAGGTGTTTGAATTGCTGTCCACAAAATACAGAGGGAGGCACAATTCTCTTCTGGCATGAAACTAAAACCTAAGCCAAATGTGGTTGAAAAGCACATTGCGAGACTGTCCTCTTAAATAAAAATATTACTGTTGCTCAGAAATAGAGCGTCCTCTTTCCCCATTTTCATCCTGCTTCCCATGAGAGGAAACATTTGTATTTTGTGTGGTATTCAATACTGAGCAAAGCTTCAGAGTAACCTTATAATGAGAACAACAATAAGGAACTTTCTCTGAGAAAGTATATAATTACAGACATGGATTTTACCCAGCAGGATAAAAACCAGTATCCCAGCTTGCAGCTACACAGACATGATGGATATCCAGTGACATGATGGGATTCCCTAATTTTTGAGATCAGAGGGCAGTATTCATGAAAGCCTACTTGACTGAATTTCTAATCATTTAACTTTATAATTCAGGTATACAGAGTCTTATTCATCACAAAATGACACATTCTCAGAAAACATTTCATGGAGCCTAAAAAAATTTAGTCAGTAAACAACATCAAGACATAGACTGTAGGACATGAAATTATTTTAAAAATAAGAATATAAAGGAAAGTACATGTTGGAGAATAATAGATGACAAACAATGGAAAAAGGAAAGCCAGGAGCCTTGACAAAATGGACAAGAACCACAGCCTCCTTGATGAAGTCGTCCAGGTCCATAGGGCCTCCTGGCTTGCAAGAAAATCAAAAGTGTATTTTATTTGAAAGAAAACAACTTTAAGTCAGGCTCGGTGGCTCAGCCTGCAATCCCGCGCCTTTGGGAGGCTGAGGTGAGTGAATTGCCTGAGCCCGCGGGCTCGAGACCTGCCTGGGCAACTTGGTGAGACCTCATCTCTACAATAAATCAAAAAATTAGCCGGGTGTGGTAGTGCACGCCTGTAGTTCCAGCTACTTGGAAGGCTGAGGCGGAAGGATTGCCAGAGCCCAGCAGGTCGAGGCTGAGGTGGCCAGGAGCGTGCCACTGCACTCCAGTCTGGGTGTCAGAGTGAGATTCCAACTCAAAAAAAAGAAAACAACTTTAATTGGATTGTTAATTAGCCACAGAGTAAGATCAAACCAAGATGTCTACCAATAAAAATAATCAAATTGAAGGACACGAGTCATTATGTGGAAAAAGTCAGCAGAAATAACAACTGACCTGTTGAGGATTTGAGATATTAGAATTAGTAGATATAAAATGTAGAATAACCATTATTTTTTTTGAGTCAGAATCTCACTCTGTTGCCCAGGCTGGAGTGCAGTGGCACACTCATGGCCACTGCAGCCTTGACTTGCTGGGCTCAGGCAATTCTTCTGCCTCAGCCTGCCAAGTAGCTGGAACCACAAACTCATGCCACCGTGCCCCGCTAACTTTTGCTTGATTTATTGTAGAGATAAGGTCTCGCCATGTTGCCCAGGCTGTTCTCGAACCCATGGGATCAAGCAATCTTCTCACCTTGGCCTCCCAAAGTACTGGGATTATAGGCGTGAGCCACTTTGCCCAGCCTGAATGACTATTTTAAAAAGGCAAAATTCCAGCTGGGCGCAGTGACTCACACCTCTAAGTCCAGCACTTTGGGAGGCTGACACAGGAGGATTGCTTGAGCCCAGGATTAGAGACCAGCCTAGGCAACAGAGAGAGACCTTGTCTCTACAACACATAAAAAATTAGCTGGGGGTAGTGGTCCATATCTGTAGATCCAGCTACTCAGGAGGCTGAGGCAGAAGAATCACCTGAGCCCAGGAGGTTGAGGCTGCAGTGAGCCACGATTATGCTGCTGCACTCCAGTTTGAGCGACAGAGTAAGACTCTAACTCAGTAAACAAACAAACGACAGAGCATTTGCAAAGGAAAATAAATTTAATTTACATCAACCCTACTCGAAAGTAATGAATAAAACTAGAAGACAGTGGAGTATTTTCAGAATTCGAAAAGCTATGCCAAAACTATGTGCCAGCAAAACTCTTTCAAGAGTGACTGTAAAACAGGATAGTTTTAGACAAGGAAAAACAAGAAGTATTTTCCACCTACAGAGCCTGAAGTACTTACTAATAACTAAATTTCTAAATTATGTACTTTTGGAAGAAGGAACTTATCCTGCAATACAGATCTATAATACAAGACGGACTAATGAGCAGAAATATATCAGTCTAAGCCCAAAGTTAAGACATTAACTTAAGTATAGTATATGGGTAAAGTTTCAAGACTAACCACCAAAATAAACAATACACATTCCAAATCACTAAAGGGGAAAAACAGAAGGGGAAATATAGGTAAACAAACAAAAATAAGAAAGCATGAGAAAAAAATAATTAAAAAGCTAAGAAAATATAACATAATAAATAAAATGGTCAACACAGAAAAGTTCTTGCATATTAGAAACAAAATAAAATTACTTAAAATTGTCAGTGGCTGTTTGAAAGGAGAAAAATAACAGCTGACAGAAAACCTCCTAAAACACAGAAAGGTCCATGGTTCAGTAAGTCTCCTACATACAAACAAGTTCTCCTTCCAAAGCATATTCATAAATCCAATTTGTTTATAAGGCCAACATAAGTTAGCCAAGGTACCCAACTAACACAATCAGCTATACTGTACTGTACTGTAATCAGACTGTACTGTAATAGGTTTATAATACTTTTCACATGAATACATTAAGAAACAAAAATAAAACATTTTTAATCTTGCAGTACAGTACCTTGAAAAGTACAGTAGCACAGTACAGTACACAAAAGCAAATCCACTCGTAGAGTATGCACATACATAACAATGTATGCCAGATGTAGACTAACTTATGTGATTAGACATGCAAATGCACATTCGCATTTTTGAAAGTTCACAACTTGAAGGTTCATATGTAGGGGACTTACTGCAAAAGGAAGGAAAAAATATTCCTAGCATATTAACCACAGGAAAGTCAAGGAGGTTATTTTGAGAATAAACAGAATAGATTTTAGGAGAAAAACATTAAGAATAGAGGGTGGGCACAGAGGCTCACACCTATAATCTCAGCATTTCAGGAGGTCGAGTTGAGAGGATTGCCTGAGCCCACTGGTTTAAGACCAGCCTGGGCAACTTGGTGAAATATCTCCACAATAAATAAAAAAAATATAGCTGGGCATGGTGGCGTGTGCCTGTAGTTCCAGCTGCTTAGAAGGCTGAGGCAGAAGGATCACCTGAATCCAGCAAGTCAAGGCTGTGGTGGCCGTGAATGTGCCACTATACTCCAGCTTAGGTGACAAAGTGAGACTCCAACTCAAAAACAAAACAAAAAAAGAATACAGAGGTTACTAATATCGATTAAAAGGTTTGATGACCAGGAAGACATACAATTATAAAGGTTTATGCTCTTAATAGCCTCAAACCATAAAGCATAAACTAACAAAACTATACAGAGAAATTAGCAAATCTACCATCACTGTGGAAGATTTGAACATACCTGTCAATTATTGATAAGTCCAAGAGGAAAAATTAGTAAAAATTTAGAAAACTTGGTATATACCTAACTAGTCTGATTTGTTGGATAAACAATTTTAAAAACTGCCCACAATTTTAAAAAGTACATTCTCAAGATGACCACACACTTGGCCATAAAAAAAAGTCTCAATGAATTTCAAAGAATCTTATATATGACATATTCTCTGTCAAGACAATTAAACGAGAAATCAAGAAAAAAATGTGTATTTTAAAAATCCTCTTATATTTGTAAATTTTATAACATTTTTTCCAACTCAGGTCAAAGGGAAAATCACAGAAAAAAGGGACCATACTTTGAACTGATAATAAAAATACCACATGTTAAAACTTATGAATTATGGTGCTACACTAGAGTGATTATAGCCTTCTATATAATAAAACAGAATTGCTTTCTTTTTTCTGTATACATTTTTAAATTCGCTTTTTTTTTGAGTCTGAGTTTCACTCTGTTGCCCAGGCTGGAGTGCAGTAGCATGCTCATGGCTACCACAGCCTCAACCTGCTGGGCTTAGGCAATCCTTCCACCTTAGCCTTCCAAGTAGTTAGAGCTATAGGCATGTGCTGGCTATTTTTGATTTTTTGTAGAGACGAGGTCTCACCGAGTTGCCAGGGCTGGTCTCAAACCTTAGGACTCAGGCAATCCTCTCACCTCTGCCTCCTCAAGTGCTGGGATTATAGGCGTGAGCCCGACCTAAAATTAGTTTTAAATTTACTTGTTGCAAAATCTATACCAAAATTTTCTGAGTCATCAAAATTGTCTCGGGACACCGAGCCTGATAGGCATGCTACCCAGAGTCTCCCGGGAGCCTTCCACTGTGCTTCACTCTGGACTCGTCAGCATCTCTGTCAAGGGCACAGTGCTCACCCTGGGATCTCTTGTCACACAAGAGGGGGCCCCTTGCGGCTCCACAGTGCTGGACCGCTTATTTCCTACGTCCCACATCTGTCTGTCTTAACGACTTTTTCAGTTCAGCAGCTCCCATCTTCTCGCTTCCCGAAAAGGGGAGCGGACGGCAAAATTTGTGAAGTCATCCATGAAACTGTCGATAACCTGTTCTCAAACTCCATGGGCACTTACTCCAGGTACACAGGCATTTAGACTGGAAAGAATTCTTCCGTCCAAAGTCCAGTCATGTTTTGATTCCTTCCCTCCTCTTCAGAGCTGAGAGCTGTTGGGGCTTCCGGCATGCTGCGGGGAAAAGCACACACTTCGTGTTGCGGTCACAACGTCTTTCTGGTGCACAGGTCTCCTCCCCGCGAGCTACCTCCCATTTCACTTGCCTCCGCTTCCAGTTCACAACAGGGAGGGCTAGCCGGGTCGGAGGC